CCCCACTATCATATTCTATCCATGCCACTATCTACCACCAATACTACTATCATATTCTATACGTGCCACTATTTACCACCAACACCACTATCATTTTCTATACATGCCACTATCTACCACCAACACCACTATCATATTCTATACATGCCACTATCTACCACCAACACCACTATCATATTCTATACATGCCACTATCTTATTATATGCATTAACACAATTAACACAAATTTCCAGCACTTGCTATAGTCATCAATGAACAACACATAATATTTGTATGAAGAAATAGATGAAGTAAATGGTCCCCATATATCAGAGTGAATAAGAGCTAATGGCTTATTAACTGTAGAATTGGACAAGCTAAAAGGGAGTCTATGACTTTTGGAAACACAACAATGAGAGCACATTTTATTATCAATAACAGATGGAACATTTACAGATGAAGAAGGTAACAAATGATGTGTAACAATGTGCTGAAGTTTCCTTGAAGAAGGATGGCCTAATCTAAAATGCCAATGAGAAGAATTAACAGTGGACTGAAAACAAGCTGGTGATGCAGATGCAGAAGATGGAGCAGCACTAGGGAGATGATAGAGACCATGGGAATGAAAGCCTTTATATAGCACCTTCTTGGTACTCTTGTCCTGTATAATGAACATATCTTTGTCAAAAGTAATAGTGCAATGATTATCAGAAATAAGCTGATGAACAGAAATTAAGTTGGAAGAAATGGAAGGTACATGAAGCATGTTTGAGAGATGGAAAGGAAATGAAGGAGTAGGGAGAAGACCTTGACCAGTGTGGTGAATAGGTAAGACAGTTCCATCACCAACAGTAACCTGATCATGTCCATGGTATGGTTGATAAGAAGAGAGATTTTTCAAGTCATTTGTGATATGACTAGTAGCTGCAGAATCAAGAAACCAGTTGGTAGTGTTGGGAGAACTGTCACCAAGAGAACCAGTAGCAGACTGATTTGTATTGATAATATAGGCTTGATGAGTTTGAGGCCTTGAAGAGTGGAAAGAAGATGTGTCCAATCTGTACCAACACTCTAATGCTGAATGATTCAATTTCCCACAGATCTGACAAATCACCTGGGAAGAATGAGGATGAGAAGCAGCAGAGTGTACAGTAGAACTGGATTGATAGGACTGAGATCCTGTGTGACCTTGGCTTGAAGTAGAAGATCTGCCTCTTCCTCGAAAAATAGCATTGCTAGAACTAGAAGTTCCTTTAAAGAACCTGCTACTAGGTCTGCCTCCTCGACCTCTGTAAGAACCACCTCTAAAGCCACCTCTAGAAGAAGTGCTTGAAACATGATAAGCAAAAGGCAGTTCTGAAGCAAGAGCTTGCTTAGATGCAGATTCAACATGAATCGATTCAGAATTTAATAGGGAACAGAGCTCTCCAATGGAAATAGTTTCAACTTTGGTTCTAATTGCTGTTTTAAATGCATTATATTCATCAGGCAATCCATTAAGAATTAGGAGAACCAGATCCTCATCATCAACAGGTGATGCAACTAAAGCCAATTGATCAGCAATGGACTTGATCTGAGTCAAATAAGTATCCATTGTGTGGCCATTTTTTACAATTTGACTAAGTTTATTCTTCAACTGGTGAATATGTGATCGTGACAAAGATGTGAAACGTTTGAGAAGGACACTCCACACTTCATGGCTTGTGGAACAATGTAAAACAGAGGTGAAGATGGATGGTGAGAGAGTTGCAGTTAAGCAACTGAGAAGATGAGAGTCTATTAACATCCAATTGGTATAATCTGGATTCTGAACTTCATGATTGTGTTCATCAATAATAGTGGATGATGGACATACCTGTGTGCCATCAACAAAACTGAGAAGCTGTGTAGCTTTCAGAATATTGTGAACTTGATTCTTCCAGATAATGAAGTTTGTGGCATCAAGTTTGACAGTGACGAAGGCATTCAGATTTGTAATGAGTAGTGCAAGATTTGGAGGTATGGAAGACGAAGTAGAAGATACAGCAGAAGAGGACAGATTCAGAGATGGCAGGGAAGATGCCATTGATGAATCCTCAAGAACTAATGCTCGCAAGAGATGAATAGCTCTGATACCATAAAAGAGATTTTGCAGAAAATAAAACCTTGTTTATTTTACAGAAAAGAATCCATACTACAATTTACAGAAATGAAGATATTTATAACCTACACAAACTAACTCTGGTTCAAACTAACTAATGCATAACAAACTAACTAACTCTAGTTAATTCTGTAACTATCTAACTACTCTGTTAACTCTTCTGTAACTGTCTAACTGTCTAACTGATGCAATGATGTAGCCACAGCAGTTGCAGGTGCTGATGATGAAGAGGAAGCTGAAGCTGTCGACTGAGTAGCTGGAGCTGGAGAAGCTTGATCATGATTAGAAGCTTTAAGAGTTACTTGATTGTTGACTTACATACACATGCTGAGTGGTTTGATTTGAGGTAGGTTCTTTTGTCGATGAAGAATGCCAACTTGAGTTCCATAGAAGAAGATGATTCAGGTCATAACAACTGTCTTTTGGGGGATATTCATCTGAAGGATGGGCATAAAATGACCCTAGAACATTGTCTGAACACCATATGCTAAATCCATATGTAAAGCAGCGATTAGAGGAGGCACCGAATATACATTCTGAATATGTTGTGAATGTTACAAGATCAGAACGTATACAATGGACAATGTGATTAGGCAGCGGTTGGCTCCCTTTATGTGCAACACATCCCAATGCCAAGTATCCTGGCGGTGCAACTGGTATCCAAAGAGAACAACCACCATCAACATCAGATTGGCCTTCACCTGCCTCCAATCCTTGAATATCAGAGAATAAGCCTATAAGCTTGAACCCAAGAGGTTTCCTTACACGTCCGTAAGTATTACTCACAGCCAGTACTGCCTGTGAAGGAGGAATTGACCTGAAGACACATTACAATTAAACATAATTAAGAAAACTAATTAAACAAATCAGTTAATATTTCAGTTGATAGGAAGATGTCGAAAAACAACAAAAGAAAACATGTTGCAAGGATGAGTGAAAAATTCTGTACCAATAGATGAAACCATAAGAACGTAAATGACATTCAACTAACCCAACACAATACAATTCAATTTTATATAGAACTTATATTTTTGCAATTCCAATACTTGATCATGCCGCCTGTGATGGCAGTGAATACAACCTTATCAGACAGAACAACCCATATATCAAGTCAAAATTGATTGGAGTTTTAGACAAGCACAAACTAAAATTCTCCCTTGCAGCGAGTTCTACACCGAGTACTCCAGGGAGGGGACTTATGATGAGTACATATGCTAGAGAAACACCTCAAATGAAACTAGTTCTAATTATTTAACTTTAACAAAGATTTGTGACTACTATTTGTACCAGAAAGATAAGATGACTATTTGTAACCACTATTTGTAGCCACTATTTAACTTTAATCATGTCCCACCAAGTTTGTGCCTCATCAGGATTTCCCATGATTACAATCCACAATACTAACAGGTCCAGCAGAGAACATTTTGTTTATTTTATTTTTCTTTTTTTCTTTTTTTCTTTTCTGCAACAACAGAAAATTGAATCATCAAATATTCTCACTAATGGGCACATATCTCATCTCAGCATATAGACATGGTTTTACCTTGATGTTACACAATCTCCCAATATCACATAATTTGAAGGTGCTCGTGGTCTCCAAAAGGTAAGGTTGTTATGGCAACCACTTTCTGCAAACAAAAAATACAACCCAATTTAAACTCAACAAAGACCTAGATAACCAACTTCTAAAATATGCAACACATAAAATATTCAGTTTCAAATGCAAATAGCAAAATGACAAACACTAAAAGTGAAATACAAATCAAAAGAATTATTTTATTTTCCACAAATCACAATTCGATCCAATAAAAATAAGAAAAACCTTTTGGGGACACCCATAGTCGGTCAAAGTTGGTACAAGGAGCCATGGGATCGGTGTTTCCCAATTGCAACGCCAAAGCTGCCTGAGTTTGCAAGTTCAGTAGAAGAGAAATTACACTTAGAGAAAGATGGAAGTATATATCAGTTGATACCAGAGACACACTAGTTTTATCATTAACAGATGTATATCCCCCTGAAATATCCACTGGATCAAGAACAATAAGACCAGAACCAGCCTCAACAGTTAAATCCTTCACAAGTGTCCAAATCCAAGTATCATTTTCTTTTGATGCATACCTGTTCGAAACAAAAATTGGGGACACAGTACAGTATCATAACAAAGGGCTAATAATAATAGCTATCTACATAAACCCACAAATCAGATTGTGGAATCTAAAGGTGAGAAGTTAGAAATATTTAAAGGACAAAACGTTTAAACAAGAAATGTGGAATTTAGATGTAACTAATAAATACATGGAATACAATGGAGGAATGCAATAAAAATTTATATATAAAAAAAAAAAGTCATTGGAGAGTTCGAAGAAAAAAGGTCCTGCATCTATATAAAACTTGGTGGTGTTGTGACGAGATACACGTCATAGTAAAAACAAAAGGAATGCTTTAAAAAGTGGGAAAAGCATAAACACGAGGAAAGTTTCAACATACATGTACATATTAATAGTACATATATATATGGGCAAACTAGAAGGTTAAAATAACAGTTTGCCATGGTTAGTTGAAAGGCGACGGCAATTTTTATACTAGATTAGACAATAAAAATGGATAAGAGAATAGTTATAAACTTGCTCAATTGAGATAGAAAAACATGAGACTTCAATCATACCAAGTGTACAATAAGTGAGGATTTGAGGATGTTAGCGAAGTAATAAGGGTTTTTAAGATCGTGAGAGCCTAGTCCAAAGTGGACAATATCGTTATGGTTTGGGATAGGGACGTTACCATTGGTATCAGAGTGGGACTGCTTTATCATATGTGTGGTCCATGCTGTTGAATAGCTCGAGAAATACTGTTGGACCAATTTCCTAACAACTTTTTGGGTTAATTAATGTGATCTAACACGCGTGGTGGGAATCATCTCTAGAGTCTAGATGAGACACCTCTTGAGTCCCGTGATTGAGGGTTAAGTATTGTGCAAAACTAAATGCTACATCACACACCACACATGAAGGTGTGGTTCTAAGGAGGCCTAAATTAAATTTAATATCCTATCACACATCTGTTAGGTAAGAAAAGGTTCTTGGGCTCTGTATAAGTGAGTTCAAAATCCCTTTCACGTAACATTGCATTTTAAAGTTGTGAAGACCTAACCCTAAGTGGACAAACATTGTTACGGTTTGGGATGGAGAACATACAGCATAAGCTAGAGTTGATCCTATGGTCTTTGTGAAAGGGCACATCTACAAAATGTTTGTGCTTCACCATATTTCTTTCCTACTAAACCCAAAGAAAAGGGAGATGGAGAGGGAGAGAGGGAGAGAGAGAGAGAACAACTGATCACGTCCAGCAGATTTAAAAAAAAAAAAAATTCTTTGGTTACTTTCTTTGTGAAGATTAAAACATACTATTGACTGCTGCCTTAAGGCCAACAAGCAGAGGTCCAGATTTTGTTATGTTAATACTCGCAGTATGGGCCTTTTAATTCACACAATAAATTCAAAGACAGAATAGAAAGAAACTAAACTTGTAAAATTGGTGAAAATCCTTAAACAAAAAAGAGATTTCAATGTTAAAAATATGCAATTACAAAATAAATAAATAACAAGGAAACTAATAATTGCTTGAGGAAAAGCAGCTAATCTTACATTAAACTAAAATCCATTTTCGCACGAAGAAGCTTTTCTCCATGAGAGGAATCATCAAGGGATGATTTTGAACTGTCATAGAAGGTGAACTCAGGAGAAACAACCTGGGTGGTAGAAAACAAATAAGATTACGAATAGAAAAGGATCATTGATATTTTAGGCTACATAGTTCAAGTGATACAAATTGCTTGAAAGGTGTCAGAGCGTGTGAAATTATGAATTTAATTTACATTATTGGACTTGCATAAGAAGTGTCAGACATGTCTCTCAGGATGTCCAAGGAGTGTGTGTTTTTGTTTTTTTTTTTTATTGGCATCCAAGGAGTGTTTGTGTCCAACCTGTGTGACATAGTTTCACCAGGACATGCTTAGTGACTGGTAAATTATTCACACGGTATTCTTTTTTTTTTCCTTCATATTTTTGACAAGTAAATTCCATGAACACACCCCCACCTAGAGAGAGAGAGAGAGAGAGAGAGCAAAAAAAACAAAGGGATGGAGGGGTTGTGGCATCACAAAAACCCATTACACTAGAGAAAAGGATAAAAACAGTGTCAAGAAAGCTATGTTACACGACTCTTCAAAATAAATCAAATACCCCAACACTCGGACAAGGGTATGGGATATGTGTCGGATACTTTTCAATGGATACTTATTATATAATTGTATATAACACTATTATTATATGTACATATTATTGTATAATAGCTATAAATGTCTTTTTGACACTATAAGTTACATGTAGCACCATTTTATCTCACATACTTGATTAAAAATATTAAAATATGACATTTTTTTGCCGAGTCCACATACCCTTAAATTTATGGTTTGGTGAATCCAACCTCTAGATACATACCCGCACCCAATACCCATACCCGACTCCATGTAACACAGCAAGAAAGCACTCTAGAAGACTGCTCAGTCCCTCAAGTAGAATAAATATACCCAATCCTCAAGAATCTCCAACTATTGCCTTTAAGATCAACAAAAACAAGAGCCCAACCCAAAAGACAAGCATAAACCATACTCAAACTAGTGCTGCATTCGACTTTCGACTCCTCAGAAAATTGCAAGTGAAATCAACTTCTATAGCACCTTTCTTCTGGGTCCAAAAGCCTCAATAGTCTAGCAAATAAAAGGTCCCCCCATATTCAAGGCAAGCCTAAAATTCTAGTCCCATTGCACGAGAAAAACCTACAAAGCCCTCCAAGTAGCAATGCTGAAAGGAGAGTCCACAAAATGATAAGCACTGCAAACGTAATCAATTGATTGTCCACATAAAAGCACATAATGACATGACAAACAAGAAACGTGGCCTACTGAACTGATCCACAACTGCAATTCTACCTGGCATAGACAACCAGACAACCAGACAACCAAGTAAAGATGCAAACTTTGAATGAAACATGAGAGCTACAGGCTTTGTTAGCTGGTAGAGAATTATCAATAGAGTAACGCATCAATGAGACAATGAAGACCTATGAAGCATAGGTACTTCGAAAAACATGCCGTACCCGTACCGGGTACTTACCGGCGTATGGCACTTCGTATGGTACTTCTGCATACGTATCGGGTACACGAAACACGTACCCAAGTTTTTTCTTCTTAATTTTTGACGTACCCAGACGTACCTACTCTATACCCAAGTCGTACCGTACCTCAGTTGAAACAATATTTTCTTCTACTATAGAGATAAAACCCCTTTAACTAGACTTCTTTTTTATTTTTAGTTTTATACTTAGTGTTAGAATTTACCATAAACCTACCACCACTACCACCTCACCTACTCCACTAAACCTAACCCACTACACCACTACCACCTCCACTTCACCTACTCTCCACCTACTCCCAAACACACTCCTATATAATAGGAATCCTTGTAATTGTAATATATACATCAACATATCAATCAATAATACAATTCTCTATTTCTCTTTATACATTAAATTTCTACATGATATCAGAGCTATAAGATTTAGGCCTATACTCCTTTCTTTCCGGCGGGCAGCCAGCCGGCAACCTTGCCTTCGCTGCCCGCTGGAGTTTTTTCTACACATACATTCACTTTCCTACTGCTGCACCTCCACAACCGGCAGACACCACTGCTGCAACTCCACGACTGAGCTACCATACAGCCTCCAAACCGTGACCATGCACACATGAACAACTTTTTCTCATCATTCTTCTGGGAGTTCTCATCAATGGTGTCTGAGATCATTGTTACAGTGTAGACCAGCTCTATTTGCAGATCCTTTCTCTGTCCGGTTATTCTTTCATATCAGCCAAGAGCTTGCCTTATTTGGTACAGTTGGGTCAGACTCTTGTGGGGTTGAACATCAAGCACTGCTATGCGCTAAGCAGCAGCATCGTTGATCTGCTTGTGGAGCGCCTATGGCGATGTGTTATGCTCTCGGGATTTGGCATGCAACTCTTTTTTTTTTTGCAACTTACCTTCCATAAGGAAGCTGTTGGAAGAACTTTGGCCGCCCAAATGATGGGTCGTTGCTTTCTTCATCGCCATGCTTCCCTGAGAATACAGATACGGGTTCTGGTTCTAGAATTTATTTTCCATTGTCTTTTTCTGTCTCGTTGGCAGTTTGTGTTTTAATGTGGCCATGCATCGACATCATGCATCCATATCATGCATAGGCTAAGCTTTTAGTTTTTGAGTCCGTCCACTTTCAGTTTTACCTTTTCTTCCATGGTGTTGAAGCCTCGTGTTCTGCATGTGATGGTTAGGTCCCTGTTTTCCTTGTTGGGGTGGGCTAAGATTCCTTGGATCTCTTTATATTTGGTTTGCTTTTGACAGTTCAAAGTTTGTGGCCTTGTTTTCGGGGGCTTTGGTCCTGGCAGCAGATTCTATTCAGAACAACTTTTGAAAAAAAAAAAAAAAACATCTCTCCTCCGTTTGTTTTCCAACTCCATTATTTTTATTTATTTTCTCCAAAACCACTTTCCGTCTTTCCCCCATCTTTCATTTTTTATTTTAAATATATTTTTATTATTTTTTCTTTATTTTTTCTTTCACATTATTTTTAATCTTTTTCCAATTCCATTCATACCATATAGCTTTGCACACCAAACCATATTTTATTCATCTCAGGGATCCACCCCGATCACAATTTTACACAAAAAAAAAAACAAAAACAACAACCACACCCACAGTGGGATTTTTCTTCTCTACTCAGCCACCGGTCTCTTCTTTTTGCCTCCGTCCTGGGTAGCCCTTGACGGTGTTGCCTCCGTGTTTTCTACGCCACCGAGCACGTTCACTCCCCCATACTCCTCCACTGCAGCATATGGAGGACCTCCAAATCGGAACATCAACGGTGGCCTCGCTTCAGCTCCTTATTTTCCGCCTTTAGCACACTTATCTCTGCTCGCGCCATCCTTATACATGCGCTGGAGCAGAGCCAGTTGGGCGTTTAACTGCTGCACCTCATTTGTCCTGCTCTGCAGCCGGTGCGACAAGTTTGTGACCGCAGTCATGGTTTCCACACATGACTTCAGAGTATACTGATTGGCCTCAATATCAGTTTGCACCGCCATTTTTTGCTCCACCGACCGCATCGGAAAGTTCAACGGAGCAAACACAGAGGTGTTTGGTTGAGGTTCACTGGCCACCGACCAGTTCTCTCTCTTGTTGACTCATTGAGGTCGGGAAAGAGAGTGAGCAGACCACGGGATGAAGAGGCCATATTCTGGGTAGCTGAACGGGAAGAAGAGGCCATGTTTTTTGGGTTGCTGAGTGTTTAAGCGAAATAGCAATTTCAGACTGATAATGTTCGGAAGGGGAGTGTTTCAAGATTTGCAGCTCTTAGAGGCAATCTCTCAGAAAATGAAGAGTTTTTCAGAAGTTTTTTCCCAGGTTTTTTTGTCTTCGCTTCTGCCTCAAGCACAGCCTCCGCATTGGTTATATCGACACTGACGACGCGGCCGACACGCCACTCTGTCGCTCACGTGCCTCGCCGCGTCTCCGGCTCACCTTTTGATGGCTCGACGCTTTCTGTCGGGCACGACTTTTGATAATGAGTGGGCGCGCCTTTTGAGGGCGCAATTTTACATCTTTTTATGGATTGGGCACGCCCTTTTGAAAGATTGGGCACACCTTTTGAGGGTGCGACTTTTTAGGGGTCCGACAAGACTCTGTAAACTGTCCCGACATTGATTCCGGTTAGCTCCTTAATGGGTCCGACAAGACTCTGTAAACTGTCCCGACATTGATTCGGTTAGCTTCTTTTATGGGTCCGACAAGACTCTGTAAACTGTCCCGACATTGATTCCGGTTAGTTTCTACAGGGTCCAGCAAGACTCTGTAAACTGTCACACACAACTGTCACACATTGTCTCTACAACGGTCCGACATGACCCATAACTGTCTTCTACATCGGTGACACGCCATAGAGTGTCCTCTACAACGTTAGACACCACCATCAATGTCCTCTACAACGTTATGACACCATCCGTGTCCTCTACACGTTATGACACATCCAGTGTCTTCACCAATGGTCTGACACGACCATACAGTGTCCTATCCTCTTTTTTTATGTATTTTCTTGTTTGTAACTCTCTCCAAACTCAAGTTTGTTGTTCATGTTCTCGTATTCCATGCCAGTGGTTGTCGAAGGTTTGCGGGGCTGTTAATCACGCTACCTTCACCTACTTCACCCACTTAAACCTACTCCACTAAACCTAACCCACTACACCACTACCACCTCACCTACTCCACTAAACCTAACCCACTACACCACTACCACCTCCACTTCACCTACTCCTTACCTTACTACACACTCACCTCTTCTTTATATAGGAATCATGAATCATTGTAATAATAATAACATTATATCAATCAATAATACAATTCTCTATTTCTCTTTATACATTAAATTTCTACACAAATCAAGGCTTAAATTTTTTAATTAAGTTCTAGAATCAGGTTTTGGGTCATTTGGTTGTATACAATTTTTTTTTTACTCATCTAAAGTAAATGTGGTTACAATATAAATTGAGAGGGGGTAGGTCATGCATGGGAGTGGCCTGATTTTAACTTATTGTCAAATTGGTGTTATGAGTACCTTTAAGGCAAGGGTAAATTCGCTAGTGCTATAATACTAATCAAAAATGTACTTTTCGTCCTGAAAGGCTCTCTTAAACTTAAACCTGTAATCTAAATTTTTTATTTAAAAAAATTAAATCTAAAGAAATATACCATATAGAATAATGTATTAGTCCAATCTAAATATTTAAAATTTTGAAATTTAAAATCTTAATAAAAAGTAAAATAAATAAAAATACCATATCTCTTATCATCTTAATCCATATATAATTTGAAAATTAAAAATTTTTAAAAGAAAATTTCCAAAAATGTAACTTTAGTCTTATATATTTTAAAATTTAAAAATATTTACTTCATTTTTTTTTTTTGCCTGAAAAGCTAAAAAAATACTATATGACATCTAAATTTCAATATTTTTGACACAATTTATTAATTAAAAGGAAATTTTGCATGGCACATGGTAAAATAAAATATAAAAATAAAATATATGTGTAATGTAATTTTTATGCCACATTAAAAAAATACATGCAAGAAAAAACCATAAATAGAACATAATTATTATAGCCAACTCTTTAAAATTTACATCAAACACAAAATCTTACTTTTTGTTGTAGACAAATAAGGAAAGAAAAGGGAGAGAGAGATGGGAAGTGAATATGCAAATGGTTAGGAAAAGAAAAATAGAGAAAAGAATAGGAAAAAAAATACTTACCCAAAAGATCGGCGAATAAAAAAAAAAAGGAAAA